TTTTCTGAACATTTGCTTAAACCTTGAGCAAACAAGACAAACCGCCCTCCCACCGCACCCACAGGCTCTCACAAAACAACTGGATATGAATTATTCTACCTGTTGCACAACGGTACCCCTGCACCTTCTCTCTCCTTCATTCTCATTGAAACCCCAGTCGGATGGTACATCAAGAACACAGAGCACCAGCAACATACACTTGTCCCTAGATACTATGGGGAGCTGTAAAATAAGGTCCCCTGGGAGGAAAGATCAGGGTATGAAAAACTGATAAAACTAATTTCAAAGTACAAAAGCCAAACCACACCACCCAGACACCAATATAAGCATTGACCCTAACAGAGGTATGTCTGTGCTCCCTGCCACCAGCTGGCCTCATTTCCTTCAGTTTTTCATGGGATTCTGGAGGTGGAAGGAACTTTATCTGATACAACTATATTCTAAGACATAACTGGATCATTTCTTTTTTTTTTTTTTTTTTTTTTTTTTGAGACAGAGTCTCACTCTCTTGCCCAGGCTGGAGTCCAGTAGGCTGATCTCAGCTCACTGCAACCTCCGCCTCCCGGGTTCAAGTGATTCTCCTGCCTCAGCCTTCCAAGTAGCTTGGATGACAGACGCCTGCCACCACACCCAGCTAATTTTTCTATTTTTAGTAGAGACAGGGTTTCACCATGTTGGTCAGGCTGGTCTCAAACGCCTGACCTCAAGTGATCCACCTGCCTCAGCCTCCCAGTGGGATTATAGGCGTGAGACACCATGCACGGCTTGGACCATTTCTTGAAATAGGCTGTAACAAGATCTGACTTGTCTGTATGTCATGGGGGCAGGTATAGATGTGTGTGTGTGTACATGACCAAAGATAACAGCACAGTGCAGTTCACAATTCTACAGATCATCCCTTAATTCCCACGATAACTCTATCCCCAAGCTTCCTACCCACGTCAGACCTCCCCATCTATATCTTCCCCCTCTTTTCAAAGATGACCTCATCTCCCACATTACTAAAAATTCAAGCTACTAGGCAAATTCCTTCAATCACCCAACCACATGCCCCACCCCACTCCGTATATCTCAGTTTCTTCATCCTTCTTTTGATCAGTCCCTCCCCAAGTCCTTCTCTCCCTCAGGCTCACATTCTGAAAAGAACATTCTAGGCCCTTCATAATGTGGCCTCAGCCCCAAACCTACAGTCTCTGCTCCACTATTCACCGGCTGAATGTCACATTGTAATCAACAAGACTTCACTGTTCACTCCGTGCTTTATGCTTTCCTGTCCCTGCACCTCTGCTGAGCCCAGCTTATTAATCAGTAATCACTTCCTCCAACATCCACGTCCTCCAATTCCATCCATCTCTAAGGGGCTGGGTCAGAGGCCACCTGCTTCAGAAAGCCTCCATCTGCCCAAGGCAACCTCTCTCTCCTCGGCAAGCTCCTTGAGCACTATGTGGCCATGTATTACCATGATGAGTGAACCTCCCAGGACCCTGGACTGTGAGGACTGGAACAAGGTCATACCCATCCCTGGCTACACCCAAGTGTCCATCACTGTCCTTTTTTGCTAAATACCAACTGCGTAGACCAGGAGGAGAGAGAAGGAATGAAGGAAACGGTGCTCAGGCACAGAATCACTAGCCATTAGAGACTGCGGAGCATCAGAGAACTCCTAACCCCAATGCCACGTCCTCCAACATGGAGCCAAGGGCTCAGGCGCCCAGGGTGGTCAACAGCCTCGTGGCTGAGACCTATGCATACCCATCAGGGTGTAGAGATGTCAGTCTGGGTTCCTTCAACAGCATGAACCATGCCCAAGAGTAGAAAGAGCCCCAGTCTCGTCCACCTGGTCAGGGATCCCTCAAAAGGGAAGGGCCAGGTCTTCACAACCATCCCTGACTTGCAAGCTCAGGCGCCATCTGCTGGCCAAGGTCAGCACTGCATCTGGACCCACAGCCCCAAGGGCAGTCAAGGGGACCAAGGCTGGGAACACCCCCGACCCAGTCCAGAGCCAGGTCACTTTTGAGGAGACAGAAACGACCCCACTTCCCAGAGGCTGGGCTCCTGTTTGCCTCCTGGAACCTGTCTTTCAGGATATAAGCCTAACATCCAAATAAAGGAAAAAAGTAAGTTTCTTTCTGGTAATACTAGCTGAGAAACTTCCAAGATACACACACAGACACACACAACTGCTTTTTTTCCCTGCCAAATAGAAGCTGTTATGTAGAGGACAAATCACCAGCCTGGGAATTAGAGGACGTGAGGTCTCATTCTGTTGCTTGTCATCGGCCCTCCCTTAGCAATGTGGCCCCCAGCACACTCCCTGCCTGAGCCAATGCTATGCAAGGATGGTGCCCCTTCAAGTGTCCTCACCTCTGCACTGATGGTGCCAGCTGATGTGCAGAAATTCTGACTGATCCAGAAATGAATATGAACTGTGGGGTCCAGAAGTACTGCACCCTCAATCTTACCCCCACACCCATGCTGGCAACACCCCACAGGGCCGGGCCCCACCTGCCTGTGACAGGGACGGGTCTGAGGACATAGTGACCTCTAACACTGCTGCTGACCATCCAAGTGTCTCTCTCACCACACCTCCACTCTCTACAGTCTGAGCTTTAGGAGCACTTACGGAATCTCTGAGTCCAAGGTAACCTCAAGCCTATCCGAGGACCGGGACCTAGGAAGGTGGTGAGGCAAGACTGACAGCCTCTTTTAAGCCAGGGATGAAACAGAGCTTTCTACAGGTCTTGGGCTGCCATGGAGCTGAGGATGAGTGGGGCCCACTCAAGCATCCTGGGGGCGAGACTGCTCCCCGAGAAGTGTCATGGGAGGGGCTGGAGGAGGCTGGAAATGCCAAGTGAGTGACATTCCCCCGCCCTCACACCCCCACACGCACCCACCCTTCTTCCCACATGGCCCTGCTCCCCTCCCTCCACCCACACACTGGGAAAGTGTGTCACCAGGGAACAAATGCCATCTTCCCAGGGGGAGGAGGAGGAAGATGGCAGGGAAGACGGAGTGTGTGCCTGTGGGGCCCTGGTAAGAACCCAGAGGGCTCTGAAGAAGCTCCCCAGCTATGAGGGATGCCCCTCAGAACCATGACATGGACAGTGGCCCATTTTCTCAGGGAGCTAAAGAAGCATTGTGGGGCAGGAGCCACATGGCCACTGTGCTCAGGGCTAATCGGCAGGGGGTGGAGGGGATCGGAGAAGGGGCCCTGAAGAGCAGGCGACGTGCTCCAACCCCAAACATTCTTTAGCCAGCTGGGTGGACCACCATGACTGCTGACACTCCAAACTGCCCTCACTCCACCCTGGCTTGGGGACAGCCACTGACATGCCCTTGTCCCACCTCCCTCCCCAGCTCGCCAGACAAGTCAGCCTCCAAGGGTTAACCTGCTGCCTTCTGCTCCTTTTTTCCACCCCCAGAGAGCTGTGCCAGCAATGATGCACTTCACACTGTTATTACCGTGATTTATTTAGTTTTAATTTTGGGGTGAATCTCGTGCTGTTAGAAGCTGGGGGCCAAGAGTCTTGTTAAGAGGCAAAGCCATAAGTGGGCCGGCACTGTGCCAATTCAGTCCCCTCTGCCTAGGGTCCTTCTCTCCTGACCCTGCTCCTCCCAGCTTGCAGCCTGCTCCCTGAAGCCAGCCACAGATCGGGTTTACCTTTCACTCACTGTCTCTCCCTTTGGAGGAAATGTTCCTCAGTGGCAGAGGAGTCAGAGACGTTTCTATGCTCACCCGCTGTGTGATCCAAGCCCCGCATCAGGCCAGGATATCACTGAGAAGCGGGACACCTTTGGATGGATGCTGCGTAGCTGGGGCCGGCTCCACATTAAGGGACCAATGGTCAGGGCTAGCTCCCTGTAAAAAGGGAACCACTGGTCTTTATCAAACCTCTGCCCCACTCTCCCGGCCCTGCGCCAAGTAGCCTAAGGACACTATTTCTAGTTCATCCATTGGCTCTTTAAGCAGCCCCAGGGCACCTGCTAGGTATTGTTTTGGAGCCGTAAATAGAGTAAAAGGACTGTCTTGGTCTTCATCCTCAAAGACTATGACTTGCAGGGAAACCCTTAGACACAACTAATCAATCCACAAGTTGCACAAGTGCAGGGAGCAAAGTTCTGCAGAGCCCAAAGGAGGGATAAGATGGGTCAAGGAAGGGTCACAGAAGACTTCCTAGAAGAGCTTGGGTTTGGACAGGAAACCCAGCACCTAGCACCCTGCCTGGGATTTGCTAGCTGGGTAGACAGATAGGCAGATGGCCTGAAGTCACTTGACAAGTAGAGAAAGAAGCAAAGACACCAGGCAGATGGTAGAACATGGCACAAGCACTGAGGACTAAGAGAACACAGTGAGCTTGAGACAGGTAGCACAATGGGACCAGAACATGGGGAAATAACCATAATAGTATAGAACACCATTACTATACAAATAATAGCTAATATTTGTTGAGCACTTGCTCTACATCAGGTACTACACTAAGCACCTTCTATTCATTATCCCATCTAATCCACACAGCAACCTTATGTGGTGGGCTACAGATAAGGAAAGTGAGGTGCCAAGATCAATCATGTGTGCAAAGTCCAAGCTCTTGGCTCTAGAGTCTAAACCACAGTGTCACTCTGCCACACCAACTTATAGACAGGTAGGTGGAAACCAGATGGGATGGGCTTGAAAGCCCTGCTGAGGATAAAGCTTCAATAAGGCATTAAACCTTCAGTAAGTGACAGATATTATTAGGTTGAACCATATGAATCATATATAGGTTTCAGGTCAGTAACAGTCTCACAGGAACTATTTCATATGGTTGAACTGGTATGTTTCACTGAGGGCCACTGAGATTCCTTCTAACCTCTTTGATTTCAGCACTGAGAGTGGCTGTGACATTTGGTTTTGTGTCACTGGTGGATCCCCAGCACCCTGGCCGAGACCGCAAGAATTCAGCCGGGGCCTTTTCTGAAGCATCCCAACCCAGGCCCATCCCCGCTGCAAAGGTGGGTACCTCCTTGCCCAGATCCTCTCGGATGACCTGGCGGATCTCTTGCATGCTGCTCTGTGGAGCCTGGCTGTGCAGGACCTTCAGCGTGCTGGTGTACTCCTCTGGCAACAGGTAGTCCAGTGCCCCTAGGTGCTGGCCAACCTTGATGAAGGTGCCCCGGTTGGCACAGCAGAGCTCACAGAGACGCCTGGCAGAGCGAAGGTGCACCTGCAGGAAGACAGGCCAGAGCCAGAGAGGTGTGAGTGCAGACTGTTCCCTAGACCTTGTTCCCTTCACCTTCCTGCTCTGCTTGAAAACCCTCATTACCCCACAATGTCCAGGGAAGGCGCATGCACACGCACACACACACACACACACACACACACACACACACACACCCCTTCTCCCTTGGTGTCCAGCTTCCTGGTACATAGGGCAGTCAACTCCAACCTCATACAGAGGCCGCCCTTCATACATGGCCCAGTGCTTCCTACCTCCTCCTCTTCATCAAAACTTACCTAGTCTGGGTCCCCCTCCCTAGAATGCTTGGTTAATAAGCATTCAAGGCTTTTAACCAAGTCTAACCTACTAATGATTCATTCAAGGGACACGGAGTTAAAGTATTTGCCACCCACCCCTCAGACATACCAATTATGCTTTGTTTGTTTGGATTGCCACGTTTTATAAAACATGGTCATAGGTATTGTATCTTTTAATCTTCACAGCACCTCAGGGAAGCAAGTTTTGCTATCTTTAAAGAAGACAAATTAGGTTGTTTTGTTTCTAAAGAAATTGCTAGGCCGGGTGCAGTGGCTCATGCCTGTAATCCCAACACTTTGGGAGGCTGAGGCAGGTGGATCATGAGGTCAGGAGTTCAAGACCAGCCAGGCCAAGATGGTGAAACCCCATCCCTACTAAAAATACAAAAAAAATTATCCGGGCGTGGTGGCAGGTACCTGTAATCCCAGCTATTTGGGAGGCTGAGGCAGAGAATTGCTTGAACCCAGGAGGTGGAGGTTGCAGTGAGCTGAGATCATACCACTGCGCTCTAGCCTGGGCAACAGAGTGAGACTCCGTCTCGGAAGAAAAAAAAAAAAAAAAGAAATCGCTAATAAATATCAAAGGAAGGTCTAGAAACTACTCCAAAATCTAGGGTTCTTTGGTGCAGCAAACTTTAGCAGAGGTCTCTTATTAACTAGAGGAGTCACTGTAGTGAGGGGTATGAGGCACATGGAGAAGGCATCTGGGCAGGTTGTCTAGGACAGAGAGCAGCCTTAATTCACATCTGGGTGCTCACCGGTCCTTCCAGAGTTGGAAGGTGGCCCCATCTGCCCCCAGGCTGCATATCCACAGTCATCCCTGCAGCCCAACTGAGGGCCTTGGTACTATAAGAGTCCTACCTTCTAAGAGCTAAGCCTCTGAGGCAGGATGAGGCCATGGGCACATGCAGAAGACAAAGGACCCCAGTACCCTGTGGGGACCTGGCACCTGCCTTCTCCCAACTCAGTCAACCAAGAGAGTGAACCACGAGGATGGACTTACACTTTTCAGTGCCACATAGGATGCTGATGTAATTAACACATATTGGGGGCCATAAAATCATGTGAGGAGTTAAATAACAGTTGACAACAAAGGTGGAAGAAGCGTTCAAAGATCCTATATAATTAGTTGCCAAGTGAATCACACAGGAAATTTAGAAATTAAGAGGAGTTTTTTTGTTTTTGTTTTTGTTTTAGCTCCCACATATAAGAGAGAACATGTGATATTGGAGGTAGAGTGGAAAAACAGATAACAAACTAAGAAATACGGGTGGTGGGAAGGGCGAGGATGAAGAGAAGTGGATTAAAGGGTACAAACATAAAGTAAACTTGAAGGGATAAATTCAATGTTTGAGAGCAGAGGAGAATGACTATATTTAGAAAACTGCATTATACTCAAGTGATAGCTACCCTAAATACCCTGACTTAATCACCACACATTATAAATGTGTAAGAATTTCCCAGGTACTCCATAAATTTGCACAATTTTTTTTTGAGAAAGGGTCTCGCTGTGTCTCCCAGAGTGGAGTGCAGTGGCATATAATCATGGCTCACAGTAGTCCCCATCTCCCAGGCTCAAGCGATCCACCCACCTCGGCCTCCCAAAGTGCTGGGATTACCATCATGAGCCACCACGCCCAGACTGCTGCTGCCCAGAAGAAACTGCTGCAGCCCTGAACACCCTCAACCTAGCAGCCAAAGGGCCCATCCGCCCACCTCCTGCCACAGCAGAGGAGATGCCTCACACTCCAGGCACTACCAGGCCATCCTTAGGCCCGCAGGGGGCCTGTCCACTTCGAGCTTTGTGAGACATTTTTTCTTTTTGAGACACCTAGGCTGCAGTGCAGTAGTGCAGTCTCAGCTCATGGCAACCTCTGTCTCCCAGATGCAAGCGATTCTCCTGCCTCAGCCTCCTGAGTAACTAATTTTAGGCGCACACCACCACGCCCGGCTAATTTTTGTATTTTTAGCAGAGATGAGGTTTCACTATGTTGGCCAGGCTGGTCTTGAACTCCTGACCTCAAGTAATCCGCCCGCCTTGCCCTCCCAAAGCGCTAGGATTATGTAATGAGTTTTAATCTGCCTCATATTAGTGAAAAGCATTGTCATAGCCAGCTTGGTTTGGGGTTTGGGAGGGAGGCAATGAATAGCTAATAAGATCAACTCAGTGTTGATTAGTTATTGATTAGGCAAGATGGAGTCAAAGCAATCCCTTTACCCACATCTAAAGCCCCAAGAGCAGGGGCCCTAGTCCCCAAGCTAGGCAGAAAGCTATCAATGTCAGACTGAATCCATGGGGCTCCCCATGAGAACTGGGCAATATCTCCAATGGGGCTTAGGGTCGTGTAAGTGACAGAGAGGAACGAGACCATCAGACAGTCATACATACACACCCCACACACAGAGAGACAGGCAGACACAGAAAGAGAAGGCGACAGACCCCAAACTGACCTTTGATTAATTCTTCTAGTCAGAAACTTAAGCCCTAAAGGAATGAAATGTTAACAGTGGTATCTCTGGGGTGTGAAATTATAAGAGTACTTTTTTCTTCTATATAGGTTTTCTGTATTTCCCAAATTTCTTTTTTCTGGACACAGAATCTCATTCTGTCAACCAGTCTGGAGTGCAGTGGCGTGATCTCGGCTCACAGTAGCCTCTGCCTCCCGAGTTCAAGTGATTCTCCTGCCTCAGCCTCCCAAGTAGCTGGGACTACAGAGGCCCGCCACCATGTCTGGCTAATTTTTGTATTTTTAGTAGAGAAGGGGTTTTTCACCATGTTGCCCAGGCTAGTATCGAACTCCTGAGCTCAAGTGATCCACTCGCCTTGGCCTCCCAAAGTGCTGGGATTACAGGTGTGAGCCACTACGCCTGACCTGTATTTCCCAAATTTCTTATGAATAATAAATATTATGATAATGTGGGAAATTTTTTTATCATCCCTTTTCAGCATCTTCTGAGAATGGAAAGTCCAGCTGATCATTTTTTTTCAGCTTTAAATGGACAAGATTCTGCGCGCAGACTGGACCAGTTTTGATCAGAGAGAATCCAGCATCTCTTTGCTAATCTGGCAGGGTCCCACGGCACACATGTGTGCTGTCCATCAGAAAAATGAAACTGTAACTCCTCATCCCCAAGAAATCAGGCCCACAGTCTGCAAGTTCTCTTTTCCAGATGTTAACCTTTACGTTGTCATTTAGACAGCAAAGTAAAGCTCATCATGTCTTAGGGGGAAAAAACGAGGTACAGTTTGTAAACATATTAAAAGAATTTAACCTCAGACTGAACCCCACCCTGACCACACATAGTTCTGTAGTTAAGAACACAGGACTTCAGAGTGTCTCAGGCTACATCCCAACTTTACCACACAGAAGCTGGTGGACTTGGGCAAATTACGTAACCTTTCCCTACTTCAGTTTTTTCATCTATAAAAGTAAGATAATAATAGTACCTACACCTCATAGGGCTGCTATGAAGATTAAATAAGGTGAGGTAATATATGTATCCATTTAGCCAGAGCTGGTACTTCTATACTTACTACAAGGGTATTGGGATTTGTTTCAATCACATGCGGTAAGACACACAAACACAGAAATGATTACCATGAAAGCAGAAGCCTTTACTGACAAGTCTCTAGAAATAGATGGCATGATGGCATGCCATGCCAGGCCACGTGGGGAAAGAAGCACCAGAATTAAAGGCAGAGGGGGAAAGCAGGAAAATGTGGACAAGAGCCTTTGCTGCTATTCCATGTGAAGGAATGGTCAAGGCAGGGTAAACAGGATAGGACTGGTTACTTTGAATAATTTCACTGGGCTCTGGGGCATAGGAGCTGTCCCTAGTTGTCTACTACCTAATGATGGGGGAATTAGGGCAGGAGAATAGTAGTACAGAGTAAAAGAGCCTGATGAAGTAGGTGGTTGTGAGGTATGGGCTCTGAATTGGTTGATTTGCATATGAAAAGCACACTCCCCTGAGTGGGTGGCTCACGCCTGTAATCCCAGCGCTTTGGGGGGCCAGTGCAGGTGGATCACCTGAGGTCAGGAGTCCAAGACCAGCTTGGCCAACATGGTGAAACCCTGCCTCTACTAAAAATACAAAAAAATTAGCTGGGTGTGGAGGCAGGCACCTATGATCCCAGCTACTCAGGAGCCTGAGGCACAAGAATCGCTTGAACCCGGGAGGCAGAGGTTGTAATGAACCAAGATCACACCACTATACTCCAGCCTGGATGACAGAGTGAGACTCCATCTCAAAAGAAAAAAAGCACACTCCCAAGAGAGCTGCTACCTATCTCTAAGAATTAGTTGACCCTGGGAGCAGCAGTCCCTCCAATGCTAGCAAAACCAAGATGTCAAAGCACCAGAAAATACAGAAAATAAAAAATAGGATTAATCCAATACTCTAACTATACTTCCTTGGGGATCTCATCCAGTATCATGGCTGTAAATACCATCTTCACATTGATATACACAGATGTGTATCTCCTGCCCAGACCTCTCCTCTGACTGGAGCTTGCTGATTACAGCTGCCTCTCTAACATCAATTACTCCGATATCCAACAGGCTCTTCAAACTTAGCCTGACTTTCCCACCACTCCCACTACCACCAAACCTGTTCTTCCCACAGTCTTCTCCACCTTAGGAAATGGCAAGGTTAAACTTGGACTTTTTCAGGCCATAAATCATGATG